GTAGGGAAAAAGCAATAGGCGAGCAAATAATTATGTTCGAATCCTTAGTAGGTGAGAATTACCAGGCTGACGTACTAACTCTCGCGAGATTCGGACGTGCGTATACTAATAGTGAGTCCGAATATCTCTACTTTCCTACTATATATAGTAGGAGAAAACAGTATGTGAAAGGAGTAGTATGTCCGAAACTCATAAAAGTACTCATAAAAGAGTAGGCGAGAAGTTCCCGGATGGCTTACTGCTTCAGCCCAGATTCTGAAGAGCTCGTAGACGGATACTTTTCTATCCCAGGAGGCCACGGGAGAGCATACGTCATTGGCCCTGTCCCAATATCCGCACTTGCGCCCTTGTGCCCCTCAATGCGCGTTCTCGCTAAAGGGTGCAAGACCGTAGGGTGTCCCGATCCTCTAATAGTGTTCTCCAGGGGTGATCATAAAGGCACTTAATGCACCCCTTTCGCAAGTGCGCATCAGACCTCACTTTGCTATGGGATATTACCCAGAATCCTTGTAGTGTTGTGACGTTTCGAACAGCTAACCAATGGGGGAGAACGGTTGCTATGGTGCTGTTCGGGAGCGGAAACTCCGAAGACAAAGGAAGCCGGTGTGGTAAAGTGTTTTTCAAGGCCGCGAAATTTAAAAATATTAGTGTTATTGTGTCACGAAATGTAGTTTTAAGAGTTTTTCAGTCGAGAATATAGTTGTTTAAAGCTCAAATCTGTGGTTTATTTATAAAGATAAATAAATAAAAAAATTTGATCTGACGTTTTCGGAGTTCCAGGTGATCACCGGGCGCTCAGCGCTCATGTACCCCACCTGGAACAGCCTTACCTGGGCTAGTCATTCTGACGTTTCCCGCGGGCTCTGTGTCTAGTGGTTAAACATGCTATAAATCGGCTTGTGTATATCTAACGGGCGATCTTTGGTCTCATTAATCTATGATTTGTTCCCTGGCAAATCATTTTAGCTGAGGGCAAAGTGAAGTTTCATAACTTTATATATTTAGGCTATTTAACTGTAACGTTGTAACGTTAGCCTGTTGACTTATGTTTGACTGAATCTTTTAACTTGCTTTATTTCTTGACTTATATAGCTTCTTATACTTTTTAGGCTACTTATACTTTAATAATGGCTATTATTGATCAATAAAACTGAAATTTAAAAAAAAAAACGACAGGGTTGTGTCATTTTATTTCATATAGCCTATTTAAGACTATTTTAATAGCCTATATATATAATATATCACCAACACGTCATGTATTTTTTCATGTATGTGATGGGAAGAATTTCATATATCAATTTCCATAATAACATAATTAAAATTGCATTTCGAATCGCTGTGAATACAGTAAGGCAGTATAAGCTCAGGTAAACCTCAATCACAATTTATCTTATCACAATTTATCTTAGCCAAAAATTGTTTTAATATTAATAACATTAACAGAAAGGTTGGTAGCTAAGAGTAAAAAAAGATATTAATTTTTTCATTCAAAGGATTGTGTCATGTTACAGCTATTATAATCAGCACACGCATTAGCCAAAGGAACGGTGTTTGCTCCCCTGATCACAACAGAAGTGACGTAGATTGTGACGTGTGCAAAACTGTCCCAATTTTGCTCTTCACAGCTTCGGGCCCTTGCGCACTTCCTCCGCTAAGTGCACTTTCAACAAGTGTCCACTTCGAGGAAGACCTTAGGGCGTAGTGTGCAGGGTGACCAACAGTCCTGTTTTCCCAGGACATGTCCTGTTTTCACGTCCTGTCCTGGCCGTCCTGGCTGTTTTTTATAAAGTGATGAAAATGTCCTGGTTTTCAAAAAACTGCTGGGAAAGATCAGCTCTACAGCAAAATATAGATGGGCAAACAAGGAGGATGAGGAAGAAAAACAGAATAAAGAGGAAGAAAACTAAAGATATATTTTGTTAGTTCGTTTTTGTAAGTTTGTGAGAGCTATTTTTGTTCAATTTGGAGGTATTTCTTTTAGTTATTTATTATTTATATATTTATTTTTCTAATACAGAAGAGACATTATTTCTATCATTATTTCATTCGTTATTTTTGAAACCTGTAAGGCTATTAATAATGTTACTTAATGTCATGGCTGTATGTAATGGGGAAAGAATTGCACCCCTTTTGGGGACTTCCTGAAGGTAGCCATCTTAAACAGGAAGTTATGTGGCTAGGAGACAGTTTTTAATTGACCTACATCACACCACACTGCTTGTTTTGGAGGCCAGAGTTTTGTCTTTAAGTTTTCACCTTTTTGTTACAATAAAATTCAAGTCTTGTTAAAACAGGTATAGCGTCAAACATACTTTCCCGTAAGGAAGTGGCTTAAAGGAGAACTCCGGTCAATTTTAACATTGAGCTCATTTTTTTGTACATTTGGAGTGTTGTCAGTACAGACAAAAAACGACAAAAATCGGTGTTGCCTACACCGTGTTATCCTCTTTTTAAAATTCGCACCCTGTTGACTTCAATGGGGCAAGTTCTAAACCTGCTTTTAGCCTCTTAACATCCTTGATTTATCATTACAAGTGCACAGCCATGCGAGTGGTGTTATTAAGAGTGACCACACGGTCAATCTGACTGCAGTAGATGTGAAAGATATTAATGAAAATGATGTTAATTCAGCCAGCTCACATACCTGTATTTACTTCCTGTTTTCGTTCGAAGTCCACAGTAGTCGATCGAGTTCGCGCGCGCGATCATTAATATAACTAATGATAACACGGTGTAGGCAACACCGATTTTTGTCGTTTTTGTCTGTACTGACAGCACTCCAAATGTACAAAAAAATAAGCTCAATGTTAAAATTGACCGGAGTTCTCCTTTAAGAAGGAAAGGAAGCCACACAGACAGTATAGATTTTGCTGTTAAAACACGTTTTATTATGTAACATTATAGCTAACAGGGGAGCTCCATAAGCACATGGACGTCTCTAAATTGGATTTACATAAATCATATACATCTTAAAGACGCTTATTTTAAATGTCATTTAACATCTGACAGGAAAATCGTCGATATTATCCCAGAAGAGCATATCACAACATGAAATAGACACCTGAGTAAGTGATGTAACTTGTGTCCTATTGTTGAATTACTGTTGTCAACACTGCTTATATTACATGATAAAACAAATCTACATAAAGTAACTAAACATAGGCTACGTTATCTATTTTATTTGTCCATTGGTAGGCTACTGTTGATAAATTGAGGAACATTTATGTTGCATAAAAAGTGAGTTAACACATCAGCAACAACCTCAACATGTAAATGTTTATCTTGTTGTTAATGATTAAATGTTTGTTTAATCTTGTCTGGATGTTACCCCAGCCGGCATATGACCGACCTTCAACGTTGAAATATGGTTGAAATAATGTCAGTTGTTGTTTCAACGGTGAAACAACGTTGATATAACGTTTAATGCTAAATGGTTGAAAAATGTTAACAAAAACACTTCTAAATCAACGTTGAAATTTTTACATGATCTGTACGTTGAAACAACGTAATGTTTTCAACAACATACAACATAAATATCTGCCTTATAAATTATTATTATGATCATTATTAGCATTTAATGATATTCTGATAATACCGTCTTTCAATGGATATGTTAAAATATAATTATTATCTTTATAGACAACTCTCCAATAATAATTTCAACCTCAAGCTGAAACTTTTTGCTGTGATTTTGTGTGGATTTACAATACTGTGTGCTTGCCTAACAGTTTACCATGCATTTTTTATTCATGAAAACACCATTTGACCAATTAAATAAATATAGACTGCAAATAAACTAAATATACACATTTCGCTACGTAACCACGCTGAAAATACTGTTATTGGTTGTTTCACCGGTGTACTTCATGATTGGTTAATCTTTCTGTCTTCCAGGAAACTAGCCAATGACAATATGCGCGCATATTTTAAGTTTAAAAATACGTCCGTTACTGACAGTCATGTGGCTGAAAGACAACAACTCCCAGAATGCACTTGCTTTGCTGCCCTTACTAGGCCACTCCCAAACCACGCCTACCGGTTACAGGCGGCAGAATCCGAAAAATGGATACAACTAGGCTTGCTTTGATACATCGTAATTTATTTGATAAATTTCCATCGAAATGGTGCTAAATTGCGTTGTACCGGGATGTAGTAGCCTAATGTATATAACACAACTTAGACTGTCACATTAAAAATATTATGCAGAGCAGGACCATGTCAACAGAGTAGCTTATAGCTCTGCATATGAACTGTTTTCCTCCTATTGAAATCACTATTTCTCTAAGCTAATACATTCTCTAGGCTAATCCATACTCTAGTAACACTAAAGGTTTATAAAAAGAACCACAACCAATGAGAGTTATAACTTTTAATAAAAATAATAATAATAATATTAACACTTTTACACTCAAAGCTCAGCGATTCGAATTCAGCGATCTCCTCCAGAAGAAAATGGCATCGCTGAGATTCGAGACGGTAATAGGACACTCTATATGCGGGAGATGGAGGAACGAGAGGCGGCCGGAGCGAGACCTGAGCCCGGCGTCAGTGCTCTCGCTGTGCGCCGGCGGGAGATGGAGGAACGAGAGGCGGCCGGAGCGAGACCTGAGCCCGCCCCAGCTTGAGTCTGGCGCCGGGCTCAGGTCTCGCTGAGCAAGAGGCAAGAGCCGGTTAGCTTAGCTTCTACAGAAAAATGGCTGACACTCTCTTTACATTCTGTGAGTGAGATCCCGCCCCATATGGGCGTGGTGAAAACATGCGGAACACTGGCTGTAGTCTTTAGCCTCTGGCACAAAAATCCTCCGATGACGCAAAATGACGATTTTTGCGTCATCGGAGGATTTTTTCCAGACTAAAAATTAGGGCTGCAACTAACGATTTTTTTTGACAATCGATTAATCGGACGATTATTTTTTCGATTAATCGATTAATCGGATAAAAAATCCAGGGGGGGAGGGGTTAAAAAATAAAAAATAAAAGATAAAAAATTCAATTTTCCTTTTTATTTAATTTTTTTAAACCAGATCATTCAGCCCTGGCCAAGAGAAGCTGTCCAGATCCCTTTCTCAGAGACAGCGTGAGGGTTCCTCAGGGTCTTCCACTCATGGACGGAGGTATTTAATTTAAACATGATCAAAAGTACAATATTGTCAGTATAAGTGAAGTGCTGTAAAGCTGCAGTCTGAACTAGGCATCTTCCATATGTAAGGAAGTGTTTGGCACCGACCTCAATAAATGTCACATGAGATATATTTTTATATAGAGAAAAAAAAAAGTGCAATGCAAAATGATCATTCCCACTAATTTGAGAATTAGACTTCATTTGCAATAACGGTCATACCAATGTCCTTTTTAATTTATGTAATTTTTTTTTTCTTTTTTTCTTTTTTTACCATATAATGTAGCCGAAGGAGTCTGTTCAAGTCACCTTTGCAGAAACGGAGGCGGAGTTCCTCTGAGTCCTTCTCATGGCGTCAGAATGCTTCTGAACCCACAAGGAGCAGTAGGAGGTGAGTGTTGTTAGGAACATATTTTGGCATATGGGAAAAAAATACTGGAGCTCTTTAAGATACTTGTATCTGTCTTGGTTGTGCTTGTATATGATCAGTGACACCCCGAGAACGACTATCGACCGAAGCCTTAGGCAGCCTCCTGAGAAGTCTATGAGAGCTGAAAGGGATCCCCCAAATGCTGCCAAGGCGATGTCGACGCATGCACACTCAAACAACTTGAGGAAGGAAGACTTCCCGATGTCTGAAAAAAGTAATTTTATTCTCTTATTTTTGCTGATGAATAATTAGGAGTCTTCCAGTGCTAGCTGTCCCCAAAGTTTCAGTTGAATCAAACTCAGCAGGTCAAAATGACACATTGCTGATTCTTCAAAATTACCTGAATATTATTATTTTTTTAAGAGCACATTTAACACATGTAAGGTTTTTTTATTATTATTACAAGCAAAAAAAATTGATCCACTCGCAGATTTTTTTATTTATTTTAAGTGAAAATTTGCGTGAAAATTGAATACAAGTTACTTTTTAGGTGTCTTATTTTAAGTGTATGAGATTTATTTTGAATAGAAATTAGACATTTAACTAGAAATATCACAAATATTCTTGGTAAAATTGAGTTTTTGCAGTGCATTTTTATTGGGCAAATGAGAACTATGATTTTGTGGTGTAGAGCGTACTCCCTACATTATAAAAATAGTAATCGGTCGCTTCTTTTTTGGCTAGAATTTCAGAAGAGAGTTCTTCAGCTCCTTGTCGAAATCAAGGATACAATTTGTGTTGCCACCGGAACATCTGGAACAAGTTATGAAGTGAAGCCGGCAAACACTGAAGAGCAGCTCAAAGCTTTAGAGAATCGCCTGGAGGACAAGAATGAGGGAGCAAAACTGGTTAAGTTTTAACCCTCGTGGTATTTGGGTCTGAGTATCCTTTCTTTCTTTCTTTCTTTCCTTTATATAGCACAAGTAAACACAACAGAAGTTGACTACTGTGCTTCACATAACATAAATTGTGCAACAATATTTAAGAAAAAAAAAATCATTCAGACTGCAGAAGAAAACATAGATACATTTAAATAAATGCACGCTCCAAAAGATACAGCTTTAGTTTGAGTTTAAACTCATAAAAAGAGGATAGCGATCTCAAGGAGACAGGGAGGCTATTCCACAACCTAGGACCGACAACAGCAAAAGCACAGTCCCCTCTAGACTTAAAGCGTGAGCCTATAGAGCGTGCACGGTATGTTTTCATCATAGACAGTAAATCCTCCTCCTGTCTATACAGTAATGTCTCTATTGTGCGACAAAGTCATGTGGTTATGATGCAATTGTTAACCTGTTTTTAACAAAAAATGCTTCTACGGGGCCATAACGTAAGATACAAAGTAATGGAGCCTTTTATACATTGTCGTGTTTCTTTAGAAATAAATTACATCATTATGACAGTTGGCTTGTTCACCTTGGTGACCACTACAAACTCCTCGTCCTAATCATTTGCCTGCTTTGTGGAGGTCTGGACTCTACTGATCACTTTTTCTGGTAATATTTTTAATTTCTTGTTGCTCCTTTTCAGAGTAAACATCTGAAGAGGTTGGGAGGTGTTGATGCTGCAGACCATGTGAAAAAGTCAATGTAAGTAACTTTTGTTCCTTTTTTGCATTGGTTTACAGTGATTATGTTCCCTGTCATATACTGTCATGCACTCCCCCCACACACCCACTTACTCGCTCTCTGCTACATTTTCATAATGAACTTGATTGCAATATAATATTCTAATATAAATCTGTTTTACCATGGCAGAACTATGACAAATAAAATGATGGCCATAATGAGCCTCAGAGGAAGAAGTGGGAAGGTTGCCTTCATGAAGACCCATCTCTATAAGATAATCTGTGGTGAGTTGTCTAACAATGTTTTAAATGATTTAATATAGTCAGCAGAATAATAATTCATAAGAAAAATCATTTTAGTTGGAGGACTCTACAGAGAATGCATTTTTTATATATATACACTACCGGTCAAAAGTTTTAGATCAGTAAGATTTTTTTATGTTTTTAAATGAAGTCTCTTCTGTTCACCAAGGCTGCTTTATTTGATGAAAAAAAAAAAATGACAAACAGTAATATTGTGAAATATTATGACAATTAAAAATGACTTTTCTATTTTAATATATTTTAAAATGTAATTTGAAAGCTGAATTTTAACATCATTACTGTTGCTGATTACACATCAGTTTTCAGTGTCACATGATCCTTCAGAAATCATTCTAATATGCTGATTTTATGCTCAAAAAACATAAATTATTCTTTTCAATGTTGAAAACAGTTGTGTACCTTTATTTTTCTTTTCCCCCCCAAAATTCTATGATGAATAGAAAGTTCAAAAGAACAGCATTTATTTAAAATATAATCTTTTCTAACATTATAAATGTCTTTACTGTAACTTTTGATCAATTTAACTCATCCTTGATGAATAAAAGTATTTTCTAATAAAAAAAAATATATATATATATAAAAAAGAAAATTCTCACTAAACCCAAACTTTTGAATGGTAGTGATTAATGTTACAAAAGCTTTCCATTTCAGATCAATTCTGTTCTTTTGAACTTTCTATGCATCAAAGAATCCTGAAATAAAAATTTAAAAAACTGTTTTCAACATGGATAATAATCATAAATGTTTCTTGAGCATCATATTATAATAATTTCTTTAGGATCATGTGACACTGAAGTCTTTAATGATGTAATGTAATGATGCTGTAAATTCAGCTTTGATCACAGGAACAAATTACACATCACTATATATTCACATAGAAAACCGCTGTTTTAAATTGTAATAATATTTCTGAATAAAACAACTGCCCAAGCACATGATTATCAATGAACTTGCACTTTGATAAATACTAATTTATATACTTGAAACATTGGCAATGCCACAAAATGTGATATTTGCAAAATGTTTTAATTTGAGAGGTTAGTGTTTGCTAATACTGATCTTTTTTTTTTTCTCATCAGACGCTGTCTTGAGCTCATTTGCTACAACAAATACAGAAGTAGACCAATACATGGCCAAATACCTTAAATATGCACCAGAGAGGATGGGTGGCGGTGGCAGAAAGTAACGAGGGAAGATTTAAAGCGATGAACTATCCCTTTAACCAGCCGTAGGCCTACATGTTGCCTAATGTTTGGGCCAATTTTCTAAAGTTTATAGTATGATGTGTAATAAATGTAATAAAGCCATGCAGCCATGTAATAAAGCACTTTTCTTACGCCAGTGAAATGTCTTTATTAATTTGACCAATCTGCTTCTTTCTAGCTGGCATGTCCGGAACCAGTGTTTATGTATCCATTTCAAGGTGTTTGGTGTTACTGTTGAACACATCAATACTTTAGTGAAAACGGTTTAACAAAATAAACTGTTGAAAAGCAGGACTTTATATTGACGTTGAAATTTCAACGTTGATTGGATTTGCAAAATCTAAACTAAAATCAATGTTGATTCAATGTTGGCGAATTCACCTATGTTGAGAAACGACGTTGGAATGACGTTGCAATTTCAACGTTGATTAGATTTGCAAAATCTAAACAAAATCCAACGGTTATCCAACACTGGCACCTGACGTTGTTTCAACAGTGACTCAACGTTAAAATGCCAGCTGGGCGAACATTGAACACGTGTGTTCAACATCTGGTGGACAGTGGCTCATGAAGGCTTTGAGTGAGTATATTTCAGAAATGAATAAAACAAATCTATTTAAATCTTCTCTGTCGAGAGCTGATGTTAGTGCACCTGTCGCTCATTTCATTTTGTTATCGCAGAACTTAGTTACATAAAGATCAGGGAAAGATTCCATGGTTTTATCTTTTAACAATGAACAATCATAATGACAAAAAAACAGAAAACAAATATCATGGGTTTGTGTACATCATAATATACGAGGAAAAAGCACAATGACAAGGTTAATATCTTTGAATAATTAATCATAATAGCTAGCCTACATGATAACGTCAACATGGCGGATGATGTACGGATCGCATTCATACTTAACGAGATCAGGCTATAAAGTACCTACTCTTTTAGCGCTCCTTAACTAAGTAGGCCTTATTGAAATGAAGTAGGCTACCTACTCAGTGAATATGCGGTTTCGGATGCAGCCAGTGATTTTAATTTTACATAGTGATGGATTTTGAAAAGTTGAGTTTTGTCCACACCTGGTGACCATTTTCATGAACTGCAGTCTGGTTATATTCTCCGGAATAGGGTGTATACTGTATTATATCTGACTGCTTATATGTTGGTATTGTTCTGCAGGATGGGGCAAGACAAACTTAATTACAGATACAGTTACATGAGAACCAAATGACTCTGGAATGACAAATATGTCTTGTCATTTTCACTGCATTCCACAGCATAATATCCAACCTTTTACACCACAAATTTAAGGGTAAAAAAATTATCTTAAAAGTCTGTCATTATTTTTAAGTGAAGATTTCGAGACCCTCTTAGAGACCCAAAAGCAAAATTCAATGTGTGAACTAATGATATTTTTTCCTGTGCATAATTGAAAGCTCTGAACGACATCAAATAATTAATTTACTCATCATTTGCTCATATTTTCAGATGGAAATAGACGAGTCTGTGGATTGGATAGTTGGTGTGTTGAAAACACGTTTTGACTTCTTTGTTTTAAGTTTTTAACATTTAGCCTATAGACCAAGTAGGTATTGGCAGACACATAGTTTGAGATGATATATAGATATCCACAGATCTATCATCAGAAGTCATAAAAAGACAACCAAGCAAACACCTTACCAGTAAACATCATTGCCATTCTCTAATGACCCAAACAAATCTCTTCAGCTCTGAATGTTGTCATAAACAACAAACCTGACACATAACTAACATCCTGCAGACACACCACAATTTTCACATGCCAAATATCCTCTGAAAAACATGGTGCCAGACCCCCTTCATCTCTAATGACCCAAACAGATCTTATGTTGCAGCTCTGGAATGCTATCAAAAACAAAGCCGCCCAACAGACACTTAGACCAACTTTTAAAATAATCTAAAAACAAATTAGTTAGAAATATATTATGATTTTGTTATATTTAAAGGCATCCATTTGTTAAATACCTCATGACAAATAATTTGACAACATAATATTTGTGTTCATTGTGTATTCGCACTGTATCATGCTGATAAAAGCTGGTTGAATCTTTTTAGTAGTAGTAAATCATATACAACTATGAGAAATAAGCACACTTTTTGCTTTAATCTATTTACCAATCTAAAGTTTAACACAAATGATACACCAGGTTTTAACATATATTTTCTTCCCCAGTACTTCTGATGTTTGGCCTCCGATGGGTAGGGTATAAGATTACAGTATGCTTTTGAAATAGGTTTAGTACTACCGGTAAGTAAAAATTCACAGAAGAAAAAAGTTTCGCTCAGAGGACCCTCTGGTCTGGGTTTGAAGCTCTCATTTTCTGCTATGGGCTCAGCCTGTACGAAACTCTCTCTCAGATATTTCTTGTTTGTTTATGATGCTACTTAGAACTAAATTGACTTTTATAAACCTCTCATTCTCGGTGTGGGCAATATTGTGTAAGGACCTCTTTTTCAAAAAAGTGTTTAGATTGTGCTTTTATAAAGTAAGCAGATCAGTGGGTGCATATGTACAGAACGAACAATGGATACAATATATATACACAATTAAGTATAAATATAAATCGAGTAAAATAGAACTAAAACATAGTAACAGTAAACAGCAAAAAGATCATTTGAAATCTAAAGAGATTTACTTCATTAATCAGATTGGCAGGTGTGACGTGCTTTGGCCAATTCTGTCCAATTAATCAACTTTACCTCTATTTAATCCTGTTTTTATTAATAGAAAATCCTGAGTAGATTTATTTTAAATTGTATTGGAGAAATGTTTCATCACAAAGTCTGTTTACCTGTTTCCAGTACATGTAAAATTTAAAGTTTTATTTCTCACTTTTCCATGCAGGCTAAAACTGTTTAACTGCATTATATGGTCTAAGATTAAAATTAAAAATTTAAAAATCTCAAATTAGACACATTTTACTCAAACCACTAACACTTTTAAAATGATCCTAAATAATGAATTGAATAATATTATTATATATTTAATATTACAGAATGTTTATTTAATTTTTGAGTGGATTTAAGATTTAAGATTTAATTTATGAGTGTACACGTTGCAGGGGATATTGTATAAGAAGTCCCAAGAATCTCAACAGAATGAATGTAATCTGTTTTGGAAATTGTTTAGCCAGATTTACTATAACGGGAACACTGATCTTTGATAGTCTGCTTGATTTATCCGCTGCATCTAAATGTGGTGACACTTTGTGATCCTGAGTGGATCATGCACAAGCTCATGCAGATCAGAGCTCAGGGTCACACTTGGGTCAGCCGTGTTGGAGAAACATGCTGTGTGTTTGTGTCTGTGGCTAAAAAGGGTTAAAAGCCACTTAAAAAATAATTTAAAAAGCATTAACTAAGTTTAATAGCTATGAAAAGATGAGTGACATGCAGTATTGAAAAAAAACCTACAGTATTTTTTTTTTACATTATGAGTTTTATCATTTCCACCACATTTCCATTTTTTTCAAGAGTTTGTGTACTTGTTTATCATACATACAATAGTGTCATTAGCTGTGTTTCTATCCACCTATTTTTATGTGCATTTTGGGATATTGCATAAAAAAACCTGGATGGAAATGATGCACATAGATTCTAAAAAATATTATGTATGAAAACTATATACAGTGGCTTCTCCTACTTTTCTTAGTGATATTTAGCGCAAGTTTACCAGGAAGTGACAAATTTGTTCTCTTTTGGATGGAAGCAGTGCATTATTCACAAATGTTTTGTGCATTTTCCAAGTTAAATTCGTAATTTTGGATGGAAACATAGCTAGTGAAGAGCATGGAATGAAATATAAGACAAGTGATGTGTGAAGGAAAACAGTGAAAAGGTAACACAATATTTTTATTGTCTGTTATTTCTAATCAAGCTGTAAATTTACAAATTTTGCACACACACAAAAAAAGCCATAACAAGAACAATAAGTCAGCTATTTTATTACAAAAAAGTTTAAAATGTGTTTTTCACCACAGAATAATTTGTATCACAATAGAACATTGTGGTAGATGTGGTATAGAAATGTTCCTGACTATAAAACACAGATTATTACTGGAACTATTCAACACTGTCATATCAAGTGCACTGTAAAAAAAAATATTTCTGCGTTGTTCGATTATTGAAGTATGTCTTACACGAAAATACTGTTTCAGTCTTTCTACTTCAAAATTTCACGTTTAATTCAATGTTATGTGCCGTGTCTTTGTAATTAATTATGAAATTTACTTGTGATTTCTGAAAACACCAACAACCTTTTATTTTGTAATGTGTTTGCTGGTGCTAAACTTGCAGCCACAATGCTATTTGTATTTTGGGTGGTTGCTAGAGTGTTTATATGCAGTTGCTGGTGTTCTGAGTTATTTGTAGAATGTTGCTATGCAGTTATTCTGGTGTTCTAAATGTTTTCTAAGAAGAGTGGTCACTAGTTAATGAAACAATCAGAAATCGTAAGTCTTCATTCAGAAAAGTAATACTCTACCCAACAAAGTATAATTCATGTCTATAGCACAAATGGTGCAGGATAAGTCCAAACTCAAAATATGAACAATAATAATAGTAATGCTGGCCTTAATAAAACATAGTTTCATATAGAGTAATGAATTACTTAAGTGCCTTTAAATTTAGCAGACCTACTATATATTGCCCCTTGGTACAGTTCGAATCTTAGCTTCTTAAAATATCTTCTGCCCCCAGTTATGTTCCACACTTTGGTAGACTCAAATATAGCCTTCTCTAAAGGGTTTCCCCATATGAGGAACTCGCCATCCTTGGAAATCTTTTGGTCAATTACATAAGCTTGAGAAACAAGTCAAGCTGGGCGGGGTTTACTCAGAGCGGCCAGGAACATTAAAGCCTATTGGCTGACCTCTCTATGGAAAGTGATTGATCATTCTATGTTAAGCCCTCTCAGACAAGCCAAGGAAGTTCAGGATCACGACAAATCATGACCTATCCTACCCAGTGGGAGGGGTAAGTTCGTCACTATACTTTCAGAGTTCTCTCTTTGTCAGCCGTAGATGTCCTTTAGTTCTTGGAAGGGTTCAACAGTTATCCAATTAAAGGGTTATCTCTCCTTTTAGTTGCCTAGTCTTTTAGGATTTGTGCCGTCGTCAACAGTCAATCCCGGCTTGGAGCTGCGACACTCCTCACATCTCACACTGAATAGACTGCTGCTACTGCTGAACTTCTGGATTTGACACACCATTTCCACATTTCGTTCAGAAAGAGGTCCTCTGAGGAGTTATGGGTGCCCACGGATCCAACATGGATGAAGTCTTGGCGGAGGACATGCACCACTGGTACAACAAATTCATGAGGGAATCGCCTTCAGGTCTCATCACGCTCTTTGAACTCAAGACCATGCTGCAGATGCAGGGGATGACCGAGGAAGCCAGCAGCTTTGTGGACCAGGTCTTCTTAACCTTCGACATGGATGGGGTGAGAGAAAGCAGTTTTTTACTAACTAACATCAATGTGTGAACAGAACATTTTAGGTGTATATTGCATATCGGCCATTCAGTTGATCTTAGAGGACACCAAAATCTCTTCTGTATTGTACATATTTGTTTTTAAATCTATAATAACGTTAGTTAATCAAATAAATTATAGTATTTATTAATCAAATCAAAATTGAATTGCACAAATCAATATTTGCTGAGAAAAGCCAAATCAATATTTGCTGAGAAAACTAAAGACATTACAACATTAAATCATTCAATCATCGAAAGTCATATGTCTACATGAATGAACATAATCCTATTACTGGCCTACAGTCCACAGGAATCCTTTTAACTATCCAGTTAATCTGTCCTAGGTCGGCCACGTCCACCTTAATCCTGATAAATCTGAAAACGCATCTTTTTAGTTAAGTTTTTGACCTTCTGTCCACAATGAGATGCCATTTTTATCCAGTAAAAACTGTGGATCCCAAGTGGATCAATTTGAAAATGCTGATTTTGCATGGTAGTGTGGACCGTGAAAATTTAGGTATTCAAAAACAATGATGACACACATTTAGTCATGTGATGCATATTCCCATAGATATCTACAGAACAGCTGTAGAAAATCTATGCAATCATTGTTGTCTTGCTGTTCACTATTTACAGTGTTGTTAAAGATAAATATTAATTTGCACCTGTCCCAAGATTTACTCACAATTGTGGAAATATGTCAATTGCATATCCGACCATGTGGAACAGTGATTTTGAGTGTGACAAGAATGAACCAGTAAGTGGTGCCATGAAAATGGTCTCTCTAGCTATGTTTCCATCCACACGTTTTTATCCGCATTAAGTGATATCGAATGAAAAATGCCTTATGGAAACAGTAAAATTCGATTGAATTTCATGAATATCGACTCAAATGAAATACGATCGGTCTCATCGGATTTTATCTTGATCGATATACGGCTTATGCGATAAACGCGGATGGAAACGTTATTATGGTCCGATCCATTTTGCCTAGTAAAACTTTGTTCGCAAATGTCGGCTTGAATGTTGTGCAATTCGGTGAGAAAATGAATGGAAACACCTTGGCTTAACATGTCTCAAATCAATTCGATATACCAATTTGATCGCAAAACAGCATGTGACGTCATTACGCACAGGTTTTTATCCGCTTTAAAGCCGTTTGATGGAATCACACTTTCACCAGCTTTATTCGCATGAGGTTTTTTTACCGAACTTCAGATAATTCGATTGACAAGTGGATGGAAACATGGCTTCTGTATCATCTCAGTCAGCTTATATTATGTTTTATCTAAGCACATTAAGGTGATTAAAGCATTTTCATTTCAAAAAACGCTTTAAAACTCTAAAACCCAAAGTATACTTCGGTTTTTACGCATATGCTAAGGTATGTGTACAGTGCACAAATGCAAATTTCGTCACTAGCTTACTATGTGCGTAGTCAGATTTTTCTAACTGCGTGGCGTATACAATGTGTGCTTGTACAATCGTTTTGTCCAGTCGAAGAAGAAACCAATGAGACGGTACAGTCAACCCTAACCCTAAACATGCAAAGTTTGAAGACATATTTATTGATCATAACTTGTGGAGAGAAATAGCTTAGACACTGGACAAGGATGACACTTTAGTGCGCAAGTGTTGAGCGACAAAGGCTATATGTATTCAGGTGTTCGAATCGCTAAGCCAAGAATACTTTGGGCTTAATGTGGACGGTGACCGTAATAAAACTAAAACTCATTAATGTACATGCAGTCATGACTAAAGGCCCAGATATACTTCACTTTCCACTTTCCGCTGGGTCTCACACACAGTTGAGTGCGCAAGCCTTTCAAAGTAGGCTGAAGATGCGTTCACGCCTTGTTGTAATTACCGCAATTACGAGTTTTCCTCATAGACCTCGTAATTACAACTTGTAAGCCAGGAATTTTCTCAGTGCTTCTACTTGTACCACCTGACCACTGCAGATTAATGTAGGCGTTGATAGTGTTGCAATACAAACGCATAATTCCCAGTCTGAGGAGAGAACCAGTAGAAAGTCAAGCGTCATCGTCTCAAAATTATGCTAATTACGACATGGCGTGATTTTCTCCAATTTTGCTTTTGCTATTGGAGCAGATGGGATTATAAAAATGATACTCCCATTCACTGCTGTAGAAGTTTACCCAACTATGATGATTTCTGCAGGGGCGGACTGGCCATCTGTGTGATCTGGAGTATCACAGAACGGCCGGTACTCCAGGACGGCCGGCGGGCCGGCCGGCCCACCACCCGCCACACACGCAGTCATAACCTGTTTTTCCCCCCACTAATCTGTTTCACACTCCAGTACTGTAGGTGGCAGCAATGCACCTTTAAGTTGGATGCCAGCGCGGAGCATTATCAGCTCGGCCCAAAAAAACTGCGATCGCGGCCGAAGCAGCTGTGCGGACTGATCTCGATCACGCGAACATTATTACACAGAGTTGCGCGATCCACTGAGAAGCATTTCAATTCAGCGCAGAATTCTCTATCTCTATTATAAACCCACAGATGGCTGTGATTTAAGCTAGTTAAAAGCCAGATTAAACAGCGCTGATATTCTCAACATCTTGACGCAAAAAAACAGGCGAAACATTGTTCCAAGAACAAACCAGTTAGAAGACATTTCACTCCACAACTTATGAATTAACTGTAACTTAGTAAAACAAACTTTTTTGGCAGAAATGTGCCTGTATTCATATTAAAAATGCTGTTATATTAATAGTCATGTAGGCCTTTAAATGTAGGCTATTAAATGTAATGCAGTAATGTTTTTGTTTAGAAGTTATGGCAGTTTATTTATTTATTTTGCATTAAATATTTATACTAAATGTTTATGCTACAATAGGTTTTTAGAGAATAATATATATATATATATATATATATATTACAAATTTTCCACCAATTGTTGAACCAGAATATCAAGATATTTTATTATTTCGCATATGATGGTGAAAAATAAAAAAGTTAAAGTTAAAAGTAAAGGTAAAGGTAAGGTAAAAAACACCACCATGTTATATGTATAATAAATATTTTTGAGTATAGCCCTTCTAGATTATTTTATCCCTTGAGGTAGCCCTCACACACAAAAAGGTTGGAGACCCCTGGTATATAGTAACTGAATGTTTTATAATTACAAGTTTGTGTAATTAGGGTTTCTGTAGCCAGTGACATTTCATTATTTGTATTTTATTTTCAATGCAGATGTAATGGCATTGTACATTTTTTTTGTTTTTATTTGAAGACTGAGGCTTCATTAATAAACAAAACCCCAATTGTCATCATTGTTTTTGAGATATTACTTGCTGTGAATACCTTGTCTGATATAGGTTACAGTATTGTGGCATAGTATCAGGACATCCTAGTGGCTAGGGGCGAATGGCTGGATGATGGGCCTATTTGGGAGAAAGTCCAGGGCTGTTTTTTAGCCCCAGTCCGTCCCTGGATTTCTGCTTCTGAGAACCCCGTAAATGTGAAAAGGGTCCTCTCGCGTGCTCACTATCTAGTGGACTTTTGTTTTTGAGCACTCAAATCACTTGCACATGTATGTGTATGTGTATGTGGACGGTGTGCGCTGACAACAGCTGACTGATGCTGATGACGAAAATTATTAAATGGTATGTAAGGATAAAAGTTTAAATATTCAAAACGCATCTTGAGAGCCTTGCCGTCTGTTCCATGATGTTGTGCCTCATCTCGGTTTTACAACGTAACCACGTTATGTCTGAAAGGCTTTTTTTGTTATATCATAGCATATAACAACATATATGTTCATATATTTCTTTCTGATTTGCTGATTTTCATTCTTTTTTCTCCTCAGGATGGCTATATAGATTTTGTAGAATACATCGCAGCTGTAAGTCTGCTACTGAAAGGAGAGATAAACCAGAAACTGAAGTGGTACTTCAAACTCTTTGACCAGGATGGAAACGGCAAGATTGACAGAGATGAAATGGAGACCATATTCAAAGTAAAGTATTCATTTTTTCCTGTAGTCAGTGAACTCTTTGATGTAGAACCAATTGTTCACACTAGAGTTCTGTTTTAAAGGTGCAACTACTCGTAAAAGAAATGGTTTTCAGTTACTGATGCCATTGTAGAAATACACTATACACAGTTAGCCATGATTCATTTATTCCACAAGCAAAAGTGTCCAGTAACAGGGAGATAATGGAGACAAAGCGAGTAGAATTTGACTGGTCATGTGACTCGACATGGAAGCCTCCATGAGGTGACCTGCTTCATGTGTACTTTTAAACCGACTACTGCAGTAGAGATTAGACTTGGGAAAGTCATATTTAATCCTAACCTGAGTCCATGATGTCCATTGGCTGAACTCCCTTATTTTCAAAATAGAGTTTCTATCCTATTACACCTGTCCATAAGGAACACATTTTAAATAGTCAAAATGTACATTCTGGCTACTTACTTCCAGACAGTCATTAATATACTATTATAGTTTATAATATGTTAATTAGTTTTTAATTTGATGTTTTCTGTTCTAATTTTAAAGTTATATTCATTTTGTTGTGATGTTGCCCTTTTTAGCTGAAATAAAATGTTATATATATATATATATATATATATATATATATATATATTATTTCAACTAAAGTTTAGTTTGTTTCAAGTAATGAAAACGTTAATGGTTTTAGTTTTAGTTGATAATAACCCTGCTTCCAAGTCAATAATTTTTGGACACATAATGTTTATGAATCTGATCTCATTAAAACTTCCGAAGCCACATGACAGATGTTGGTTCAAAGATGAGGGAAATTAGACATGGGTCAGTAAGACAGTGAATGTTGTAAAACACAAAATATTAATACAGTATTTATTCATCTTCTCCAGGCCATCCAAGACATTACCCGGAGTTATGAGATCCCTCCAGATGATATTGTGACACTGATCTATGAGAGGATTGATGTTAATAATGAAGGTAAGAGCTGCCAGATCATGCTACGTTCACACTGTCCGTTTTTGGGATTGACAACTGCATTTACTTACAGGTGTGAGTCTCAAAATGTCCTGTTCACACAGTCACTTACAGTAGCATCTTAAATATTTTCTGCTTGAACATGCAACAGGAGTCAAGCCCGTATTCTCTTATCAGTAATCATAGACAGTGACCAAGGTAATATCAAAGATGGCGTCGTCCATAAAACTGAAAAGTCTTAGCCTATAACTGTTGACATGACAAGAGTCAAATCGAACCACAAGTTAATCCATCAAATCTTCATTAACCGACAGATCTAAATCTAAAACCTTCAGATGTCACACAGATCAAATCTCCGTAAGTTACAGAGAGCGAAACCACACGTGAAAACCTGCAACACACGGTAGACGTGTTTGAGCGGTTCTCTCGCACTGTATGACGGGACTGCGGTTGTTGTGAGTCTGAAAATGTAAGGGTGTGAGTTTGATTAGAGAATGCAGTTGTGCACTGTGGCGTCTGTGTTTTGCTCAAGGTAAACATTTACACAGAGTTGCCCTCTACAAGTCATTTCTGTTCAGGATTGAACCTGCGAGCTTTGATCCGTATTAGCAGCCCACATTTAAAACCATTAGGCTAACGCTTACGCCACTACTGCCTTTAATAAGGGTCAAGGTTAATGTCGAATATTTCTTTCTAGAACCAGGATAAGAACAAAGTTATGAACTAAAGCGAATATTAGTTACAGAATCTATATACAGAGAGAACAAATTCCTCAGTTTTCATTACCAAAATGAATCTAATTCTCATTTCCATAATGTGATGTAATTAGCCTACAGTACAACAAATACTAGCCTACTATTATTATTAAAAAATAGATTGTAAGATTTTTTTCACATTATTGAGAATGAGATTTTCTGCAATATTATGTTAATGACAATTAAGGGCATTTCCATAAAAGTAATGCCACCAGGATTAATATAGTTAACTAAAACTTAAACCATAAAAAAAAATGTGTTACTTGAAATAAAATTAACTTTAGCTGAAATTTAATAAAATATTTTGTTTCAGCTAGTTGCCAAGGAAACATTTTTTATATACTTAAATAATTATAGACATATTATAAAACCAAAAACTAACAAAAAATGACAAAACACATGACAAAATTACGAAAACTTGTAATTAAATATAAAAACTAATTTAAAAATAAAAACTAATTAAAAATATTCATAATAAAAAACTATAATTGTATTTCAATGATACTAAAATAACAATGAATGCCACAATCCTAAAAACAATTGTATTAAAAATATAATGTTATATGTATCCTTAAGGCCCGTTCACACCAAGAACAATAACTGTAAAGATAACTATATTAGCGTCCTCGGCGAGCGTTCTGAGTTTTGTCATCTGCTGCTTTAAATGCTCAAGCTCTTTAAAGCAGGATGAATTCTTCTGATTGGCTTTCAATGTTTTTATCGTTCATCAGCTGGAAAAAAAAGTCTGAAAGTAATTTTTCCAACGATATTGTTTCTCTGTGCCATCATTGTTATAGTTGTGGTGTCAACTCTGCTATTCTACATTTAGAACTATTTTTTAGAACTATATATTTATCATTATCGTCTTTGATGTGAACGGGCCTTTTGATATGTGTACATTTTTATTTATTATGTTTTATATATAATAATAATATAAGGAGTCACCCTTAAAATAGAATGTCTGTCCTTTTGGCAGGTGAGTTGACATTGGAGGAGTTCATCACAGGAGCTAAAGAACATCCTGACATCATGGAGATGCTCACCAAGATGATGGACCTCACACATGTCCTGGAGATCATAGTCAATGGGCAGAAAAAGAAGGAGTGACTGCCGATGTATGACGCATTGGACAATAAAAGGATCCCCTCCTAATTGAAGATGATCAACTCTGTGGCTGGAAAGCGTAAAACAGACTCAGTAGAGGGTGAAACCTGCTAGCAGCATCTCAGAGGTGGAGATGAGCGACCATCATCATCAAACATCTGTCTTTCAAACACTTTCTCTCTGTGTCTGTGCCTCAGACATCTAGTTAGCGGAGCTCTCTTTCCCCTCTACCTTTAACTGCATCACCTTTACAAGTCTGAAAATGTCATTCTTGCAGGAAGAATTGACACAAGGAGATGAATCCATGGTTTAAATCTAGGGTAAACATTTTTTCTTATACTAGTTAAAACTCTGTTCACATCCTGATAGCAATCAATAATAGAAGTGGTCTAAATATCCAAACAATTTACATATATTTTCTGTGGAAGTTTCAGGACCAAAAAATGTTCGTCCAATCATTGCATTCGGTCCGAATGCAATGATAGGATATCCTACCTGCCTGCCAACTTGTGTGTTTGCATACCTCCTTGCACCTGCTCGCATAGACATCACACGTCATCAGCGCGAACATGAGGCTATGCACAGTCACATGCTGCAAACAAAACAGCAGCAGCCACCTTTTACAGTTCCTCCTGAACCTAAAAAAGAAGCTTATTCTGATTTCACGCCATGTCGTAATTACCGCAATTAAGAGATGGCGTTCTACTTGGAGCTGTTCACATTCTCAGACTCGAATTATGCGTTATGGCAAAACTATCAACGCCGAAATGAATCTGAAGCAGTCAAGTGGGACAAGTCACAGGTCTAAGTGTTTTACCTTCATTATTATTGCAATGTTAAAGATAGCACAAGCACACTTTTCAAGCAAAACAGTTCACAATAAAGCAATAGATTTACTGTTCAAAATGAAGACTAAACATACTAGGACTTTCGGGTTGTGTAATGAGAGCGAGTGTCATGAACTTGGGCATCAAGACCACTTTGTTTGATATTTTCTATCTAATGGAATAAACATTCAAATGTGTTAAGATTTAAGACTTACTACAAGTGTCCAAATACGGTTTTGGGGACACTGTGTATTTGAGGGGCCAGTATTATATTTAATTGTACAGTTTTTCTATTGATGTATGTGATCTTCATTCTGACTTTTGAGATTTTGTGTTGAATCATATAGACAACGTTGCAATTTTAACTTGTTGTAACCATTGCCTTATATAAATAAATGCAGTCTAATGCACATTTGGACTTCTGATTCCTGTCTTCACTGTCACTGTTGCTTTAAATTAGAGGAAAGAAAAAAAAAAAAAATGAATAGTAGGTCTACTTATGAAGAAATATGGTTTAAAATCATGAAGTACCCATTTACACTACCTTATAAATCAATGACTGGGCATTGGGCCTATTTCAAAGTAAAAAAAAAAAACGCTACAACTAAATATATTCCCAATCTGGTCGCTGGAAAGCACAAGAGTCAAGCAACAAGTGGGAAAGGAAAAGTGGAAAAAAGTAATTCAGTATACTGTACATATAAATATGTATAAATTGTACATTGAAATGTATTAAATTGTATAAACTTTCATTCGATATGCACTACTTTTTTCATGGAGGTGGCAATCCTGTGCGTTCCGTTCCGAGCCAGTTGAGCTAAAAATAAATATGGCGTCTGAGCGTTGCTTTTTGTTTGTAAATGTCGATTTTTGACCAACATTTTCCACTTTTGATGTAATTTCTAGCAATAAATTAGTATTGTAGTTATTAAATATTTGCTTGGTTATCACCAAAGTTCTCTCTATTTTGTTATTAATCTGTTATGCTGCTAGGCTGGTTAAAACCAGACCATTCTAATTTGTAACTGAGTTATGGTCTGGCAAAATCATTTTCAGAGGGGCGTCACCAATGGAAGTCACGGATAGACCTAAAACCAATCAGAGCGATGAAGGAGATGACGTATGCAGAGCGGCGAAGAATCTCAGAGTGTTGTTCTTTGCTCGGTTTTTAACAAAAAGGAAACGTTCAAATCGCTTAAAACAGACGCGATAGCTGATTCGAACGAGTGATGTTCGATGGCGGCATCCATCTTTGTAATGTAGGCTACAAAATCTGCTTCAAAATCCCAGCGCTGTCGTCATCGTGTAAAGCCCGCCCCAACGTTTCTGATTGGTGCCTCGATTTCGACGGATTGGAAATGGGCTTGAATGAGCTCTTTGCCAGACTAACTTTCAGAGCAAATCTAAAATCATGCCTCGGAACATTGCCTGATAGGGCAACAAGTCAGCTAAGCTTTCTGATGCAGCTTCAGTTCAGTCTAGCTTCAATCCTAATTAAATGCACCTGATCCATGTAATCAAGCCCTTCAGACTTATTTGAAAACTACAGGTATGAGTTTTGAAGCAGGGATGAAACTAAACGCTGCAGGGCTGTGGTCCTCCAGGTACTGAGTTTTGCACGCATGCTTTAGGAGAAAACTACCCTGACGTCGTCATACTCGGATCCTCTAATGTGGGCGGGGCTAAATTCGGCTGGCATCCAGGCTAGGAGAAAACGGTAAGTTATTTACATTGTGTTAAATTAAAGCTATATACTTTATCAGGTCATGCCTTCCCTGAGAATTGAATGTACAGTATGATTACTGTTTGAGCTACAGAACATTGCATTATCCTTCTGCAGGGATGGGCCTCGAGATCCACTTTCCTGCTAAGTTTAACTCCAACCTTAATCAAACACACTTGCACAACCTAATCAAAGTCATCAGGATTACTAGAACGCTACAGACAGATGAGTTTGATCAGGGTTTGAGCTGAGGAAAGTGGGCCTCGAGGGCCAGAGTTGCCCAGGCCTAAGTTACCCTAAACATGATCAATATTAAAGACTTCATTACATGTTATTTTAATCAGTCATAAATGTCACCTTGAAAAGTAATATGCCAGATTTGACATGCATAACCAATGAAAGTGTGGCAAAATGTCTTCACATGTTTTCCTAAAAATACTGTTAAGAACCCAGTTGGCCTGAAGATTTCCTTTTTTGCATAATTTGAAGCTTGGAAATGACATAAATATATTCTGCTCATAATACACCTCACATGTCTCATATTTCATCTAAAGCTCTTTGCACTGTATTCCAAAATCATTTTCACTTATAAGCGTCTGATGTATGCAGCAGCGTAATCTTGAAAATATTCTATAGAAAATTATATATTATATTGGGTTTTTGGAATGACATTTGCTAAACATTTGAGTGAAGTTAACTCTTAGAAAAACGACCTTTAACTTGCAATGCCCAAAGTCTGTTTGAATAGATTTCATAACCCCATTTTATGTTCCAAAAAATGATTTTATTTCATCACAGACATTGTGTAAGCAGTCTGACTGTGCTTTCCAAACATGAATGATGTTGTACAGTCTGGTTGCATGACAGCAGCAGCACTAAGATATCAGTCATGCACAGTTACAGATCAGAGCCAATCCAAACAGATCTGACCTTGAATGTCTTTGCACTTTAACTGATCAGAAATATACCCTTATTCATATTTACCTTTCCCTTTATAGCCTTTCAATGTAAAATCCCCCAGACTTTTAATGTACGATGTACATTTAATATATCACACACTTTTAAAGCAGCATTGGTGCCCTTTACCTCTTTCATGAGATCCCACTTACATGTAATTAGATAAAGACATCACTTTTACAACATTTCAAATACATTTCACACCATCTCTAAAAAGCAAGCCGATGTGATTCTTGTTTTATTATGAGTTATGTCGCGTTTTCTTTTCTGTCCCCAGCAGAATGTCCTCTGTTTTATTTTTTATTTTTATTTTTTTGTACGGGTGATTCCCTGGAGGTTTGTGATTTATCTGCTTCATGTCAACATTTCTTGCTCGTTGTGACAACTAACATATGCTACTACTCACACACCATACAAGCGTCTAAGTATAGCCGGAGCAACTTTTCTCTATTTGCGGATATGACGAGACATGACGGGCGAGTGACATATGTAGGCCTATGCTATTTTCCACGAAACCAATAAATACACGAAAAAATAAATACTTACAGTATGCTAGTGAATCCAGTTAAGACAAAAACATGTTTTGGAAGTAGGACTGAAAGGCTATGGATTAAAATAGTGTAATTCACTCTGTAATTTAAAAAAAAAAAAGTTAAAAACAAGGTGATAAATAATTATATAACTCAATATGATTAATTTGTGTACGTTATAGGTTAACTATTGAAATAATGTCTGAGATGTGTACCTTTGTAATCATGTATGAACATCTAGGAAATGTTCTTATGTAAATGTACGTTTATTTCGAATGGATTAAATCCAGAGAGAAAAGTGACGCTCATTGAGTATATGTATAAAGGGTAGGCATAATAAGCATAGGCTTCAGCCTACACCTTTTTCGGTTGTTATGCATGTATATATTGTTTTTGTTTTTTTTAATTATGTGTGAGGACCGAAATAAATTTTGTTGATTGATTGAATGATGATGTATTGGCATTTAAATTGAGTTAATTTTGAATTTAAGTTATAGTGTATCTTTAAAGATATACTTCAAAAGAATATTTTTAAGTGCGTACATAATGCAGTGTTCTCAGACACTTAATTGCATGTTAAACTACAATTAATTTAAGATTGCTTTTTTTACCCACTTATGTACATATATTTAAATTCAGAATTCAGAATATTGCCTTTGAAATATAGTTAAGGACAAGCATTTATAGTAAACTAATGAAACTGAACTAACTAAAATATACGTTAATGTTATTTCTTGAAACTTCCTATGTATAAGAACCATGATATAACCATATCAAGTATATTTGTAATTACACATTTGTAATGATGAAGTTGCAATTATGTCATAGAAAATATTGGTAACACTTTACAATAAGGTCCCAGTAGTTAACGTTTGTGGATGCATTAACTAACATTAGCAAACTCTGACCAATGCATTTGTATTTAATAATAATAATTATATATATATAAAAAATAACAATTAATTAATACCAGTAGTCAATAAAATTACAAAAAAAATGGTTAGTTCTATTAGTTCAGGTCAATTAAAAATATTAACAGATCTTTTGATCTAACATCTTTTGGTTTGAATAATGTCTTAGTAAATGTTGAAATTAATATTAACTCTGATTAATAAATACTGTCTGTTAAGACACATGAAAGTGTACTCTCTTTAAGTACACAAAAATAGCTTTTTATTTGAAAAATAATACTGTCTGCAAGTACAGTTTATTAAAATATACTTATAAGACTGCACTACAAGTTCACATTCATACAGTGCACTTTTTCCCCCTAGAGAGGGTCTGATGTAAACCATGCCATTTGGAGGTCAGTGTCCTTCTGTAAACTGCATGGCAGCCAGAATATCATGCTGTGAAGAAATGAACTTTAGGGAGGGGTGTGTTAGCTCAAATGAACGCTTTAGCTGTAGCCAGATCAGGCCACTATGTTGCATAACCGTCCCCTAGACCCGCTATAAAAAGAGCCACTTTCTCCAGATCTTGCACTGCATCCAGGCCCCGGCCACTTCACCATCTTATCAAGCGACGCCCTCAGCCTGAAACCCACGAGACATCATGCAGTCCGCCGACACTAAGCTAAGCCGAAACTCCCTCCAGCTGGCCCTGAGGCGCTACAGCACAGTGGTGCACAACATGGAGCAGACCGTCCTGCTCCCCAGCCTCCTGAGAGACGTGCCGTACGACGAGGCTCAGGACTGCGAGGCCGCAGACAACAGCATGGACCTGTACGAGTACTACCTTATGCTGAAAGCCGTGAAGAACACGGTGGAGAGCGGGCTCTTCCCCCACGACGACGCCAAGACCAAGAGTCACGCCGCCCTGCACAAAGGCCTGGAGCCGCTGCTGCTGGAGGCCGAACCCGAGGCGCTCTTCCACTTCCATCTGCGGGGGCTGTTCACAGTCATGGCCACGCTCGCAAACAAGTCCCAGAACTTGACTGACAAATACTTGGACATCATTGGGGTCAGCCATTAGGATGCAGCACATCTTGAGGAAGAATCCCTCTTGAGGTGGAAGCAATTAAGTTACCGTACCCGGAAAGCTGTTTACATCCTTGTCACGATCTATGTGACATGCAATAAAAAAAATCTGAAAAATTATTTTGTTTCAGAATTTTATTTAAGAACGTCCTTAATAAATTCTTTTTTTTCATCCTTTACATTTGGCTTGCAATATTATTTTGCATTCTTTGTAATTATTGTCAGTGAACTATATTGTGAGGAATTTTTTTTTAATTTGATATCTAAAAATGTAACTGCTTCCTCATATGAGAGATTGCAGAATACTCATTTTGTAAAGTACATACGCAAGATCACTGAAACATAAAAGAACTTCAGAAGACATAATTGAACATAATGTCATATTACATATGACTTTGTGTCATTTCAGTCAAAATAACCAGTACATAGTGAAATCTTCAGAGATGCAACAAATATAAGCCAATAAAAGACAATTCATGTCAATATTCCAAAATTACTGTATGTACACCAGTGCTTTTATTTATAATGGTAACACTTTATAATAAGGTTCATTAGTTAACTACCTTATTTAATAGTAAGTGAGAATGAACAATTATTCTTCAGCATTTATTCATCTTAGTTAATATTAATTTCAACATTTACTAATGCGTTATTAAAATCAAAGGTTGTATTTACATACATTAACAAACTAACATTAACAAAGATTAACAAATACTGTAACAAATGTATTGTTCATGTTAGTAAATAGATTAATGTTAACTAATGAACCTTAATGTAAAGTGTTACCATTTATATCATATTATACTTTTTATTAATAGCTTTATTTTTTAGTAAATTTGTTATGTGATTTTGCCATTTTTTTATAATAATTATTATACTAAAAAAGGCTGGGTTGTTTCCACCTATGTTTTGGTCAAATATGGACAATCCATATTGTGTAATTTGAAATACTAGAATTTAGGTTTGATTTATTCATTCATTTTTCCCCAGATCAAAATTTTAGTGCTTCAACTCATTTCAGTTGCCAAGTTGCCAAGTTTAAGTTTCCCCTTTCTAATATTTATATTTTATTGTAGCTTTATTTAATGTAACAATATAGTTTTAGGTTTGGTTAATGATAATAACTCTAAAATACACACTTTCTAGAAAGCCCTGTAATCATTTCAGGAATAATCTGTTTTTTAACTGTGAATTTATGACAAAAAAAAAAAAAAAAGAAAGAAATCGATGAGCTTCCAAAGTAAACCAAGAGTAACTGAATCTGTTGCAAAACTCCTGGGATCGCACACGATTGCATGAGACGAGCTATCGGTACAATATCCGTGCCAAAGTCCAGCTGAAATCAGTCGGGTCATCATAAGGTTTAGAAAATCAAACTCAGTTTTAAAATTGATTGTTGTTAAATCATGATACGGAGATGTAAAACATTTGAAAAATTATTTTGGTCAAGCTCTGGGTAAATAAATGTAATCTTTTATTAAACCAAATCAATGAAATGGTAGATCGAAAATGTCCAACCTGTTGTGGACAAATGAACAACAGATTAAAATACTATGATTCTAATGTATGGGCATTGTATACATTTTCTTAGATAACTCATGTCCCTTTTAAAGCAGATCAGTTAATAAATGATCAGAAAATAAATATATTGTGTACGACATGAAAAAACACCCAAATGTCAGGCCGTTTGGGTGTTTGTAAATGTGTTTAGTGTGCAGAGCTTACCTGGTGGCAGAAAATGACATTTCCACCACTTGTTTTCTGCCACCACAATGTGTGTAACAACTGCTCCCACATGGTCTATTGACCGTCCTGTCACAATCATCTGTAAGGTCACTTCAGGGGTTCTGAGGGCCTCATGTATGCATGCCCTTGATTTATGCAACATGCTTTTTGACATTGTGCCATGCATAATGACATAATCAGTCTCCTACACATCCATAACGATTCAGACTGTGAAAGGAACAGTTCACCCAAAAATGAAAATTCTGCCATCATTTACTCACGCTCATGTCATTTCACAGATTATTGTACATTTTGAAGTGTTTTCTTGCTGTTATTCTTGTTTTTTGAGGGTGGGTAAATAATGGTTTAGTTTAGTGTCGACTGTCCCTAAAATAAACTAATGTGGATTTGCATTGGAAAACAAATGAAAGCCCAAATAAAGAAATCAGATTGTCCTTTTAAATAGTTTAATGACATTGAGTACACAACTTAATAAATCAATATAAGAGTATTTATAACAGAAAAGTCTGTTAAACCAGATTTTCAACTATAGTCTTCATGTTCCTTGTGACAACTACATCGACTCAACGGATTGGATGAAACGGCTCCACGATTTCGGCAAATGTCTTCCGTTCTGGTTTGAGAAAGAACATTTTTAAAAGGTTACAGGAATGAAAGTATTGTGGCAACATGCGCAGTAATTTAAAACACACTAATGTGGCTGGATTTCCACGTGCTGTTGTTACCTTTCACTTTAAAATCATCAGGATGCAGTCGGATGTACTCATTCATGTCCCTGTCCAATGAGGCATATTTGTAATTCTCATATTTTGTGAGATGATAGCCAATGAACCATGCAATGGTTGTGAACAGCGCTTGCCGATGAACACCTGTATATATAATAAAAGAAAAAAGCGGGAGGAAAGTCAAAGCACTGCACAAGATATGTTTGCATAATCCTGACTGTTTTGCATGCTTGCCGTTTCATGTTCAATTGATGTTTTAATCTTCATTCAAATTCTGTTAACTTTACTGGTAATAGGCACATTTTGTTAATTTGTTTAACGTATGTAATGTATTAGTCACCATGAAATCAAAATGGACAATTCTTATTTTTTAAATAATATTGAACTATTTACTATACATGATTTATTTCTTCCATCGACATCTCTTCACTAATGTTTACTGGTGTGAGGGCGGGGCAACCTGTCACTCACATGAGATCCACCAATAGCAAACCACAATCATCCAATCAATTCCCCATGGACAAAATAAAGTCCCGCCCAACATTTTTTGTTTGAGAAACAGTTTCACTTAAATACTTCAGGCTTACATTTCAAGCTGACTTTAAAGCCTGTATGACTGTTTCAATTTCAGTTTATATTTAAAAAACGATATAGTGCTGAAATGCAAATTATATACAGTCACTCACAAGCAATATTATTGGTTTAGGGGATAAGAACGAGTGCGATAGTAATCCATTGGTCTTGGTAATAAAAAAATGTCCCAATGGTAGTAGTAACCATTGATTGTATTTTTTATTTATTTATTATTCTTACATGGTACTACCATGTAAATAACAAGGCATATGAATGTGGTGTTCATTCAATACTACCATGTAATTGTAAATGTCAAACTACCACCATGTCTGAAGTGAACCACCACAGTTTTTGTAAATAGGGCAAAGTAAAATCAGCCAGGAACGCACTCATTTGACATTATTATGCCATCAATTGACAGTGTGTTTGTTACGGGTGTGAACTGCATTGATGCAGATTTGTTCTCACCGGCTTTGAGTGCAGGCCTGCGGTTCAAGCTGTTGTGCAGCAACGCGGTCGCCCAGCCGCACACCCCGAGCCACACCGAATTTCTGTTGACGATCCCCGGAGGAGGCAGACGTTTCGCCTCATCAGGCAGAAGCCCCATGTTCCCAGATAACAGTCTTTTCTGAAGACAGAACACTTAACTTTCCATATCACCTCCTAGAGGAAACCAAGGGCAATGTTTAGGCGGAAATGGTAACCGGTCCGGGGAGAAACACACGACGAATTACAAGGGTTCCGGAGCGGGCTTCAATGGATGAATACCGAAATCGCATACTTCTCTACTAAGTTATATAGTAGGCGAAAAACAGCATGGCTGAATTCGGAACCGCATACTAGCATCTACTATTACTACTTCTGCCTGCCATAGAAAGATATTGTAAAATTAGTGAGAGTAGTTTGACAGTATGTGGTTCTGCAGAATCTGTGACAAAAGAAGTTGGCCTGCTATGTCAGAATTCACAGTACGCATAAAAGAGTATTGGAAAAAATACTTCTTATTCTGAAGTTTGCATACGATGGACACTTTACTATCCCATGAGGCCACGGGAATGGATATGAGAATGAAGCAACGCAACTGACAGTTGTAAATCACATGATAATGACAACATGGCCATGTAGTACGTCCAGATTACATTCACACTACACACATTCATACTATAGCGGTTGTGAAGTAATTAGGCTACTTATTCAAAATAAGTACGTACTCAAGAGTATGTGATTTCGGATGCAGCCGGGCGCTTCCGCCATTAGTAAAATAATAAAAAGTCAAAATTGTGAGATGTAAATTTGAGAAAATCCAGAAGTAAATCCAGAAATCTAAGGGGAACTCATACTTATATATGAGTTTAAACCTTGCAATTGTGAGGAAAAAGTCAGAATTTTCAGACTACTTTTTTTTTTTGGGCGAAACAAGCTTCCATAGATCTAAAAAAAAATAAAAAAATAAAAAAAAACCGATTTATTAGCTTTTCTGCAATTCTGTTTAGCCATTTTCACAGTTCAATCAAGTAAAGTCGCTGCGGGTAGAAGCAGAACTTCAAATCCCAGAATGCAGCGGGGTTTTTCCCGGAGTCTGTCTTCCACTGGGGAAGCAGTATGACGTCATTATAAAAAAAAACCCGAGGAAACTCTGCGATTATTGTGCAGCAACACTGGAGCCGAAAATCTGCCGAGGTTGCTGTTGGGCGCTGCGCGACTGCTATTATCGTTTAGATTAAGAGCCTGGAGAAAAGACTGAATGCATTCGGAATAATAGAAGCAGTGGGGTGAATCCCCTGTGTTTGGTAAGTGAAAAGATGATTTAATGTGACCTTTAATGTGCAGAACATCCTGCTATAGCTAATGGAGAACACTATGCCTGCTGGTTTTATATCATCATAACATGAAATATGCAGTTTTCACTATTTATAAAGGGTCCAAATAGAAAGAAAAGGATTTAGGCCATGGCTGTGCCTTTTCTCCTTCTCCTCTGCTCAGAGGTATATTGCATATCAGATTTCAGTTTTCTGCTTGGAGATATTGCAGATCTTTTTTTCATACCGAGTGGGGATCAATAAAGTATTTCTTTTCTGTTCTATGATTTATTATGCTTTTTTTGTATGCATGTATATATGCATGCATATGTGTGTATATATATATATATATATGTGTGTGTGTGTGTGTGTGTGTGTATGTGTGTGTATGCATGCATGCATGTAAGTATATATGTGTGTGTGTGTGTGTGTGTGTGTGTGTGTGTGTGAGTGAGTTTTCGAAATAATCCACACATTAGAGTCATAATGTTTAATATGTAAAGTTATATTTGATTTATTTTCAGCATTTATTTCTGGATCCAAATGAAATATATATTTTGTTATACTATGAGTGTAAAAAGTTGTGCTCATGCTGTTGCATTATGTTGCAAGCAAACTATGTAATGTGAGGGTTAAATAGCATAAACATGGATTTCTAATTTTTTTTTATTGAACAATTAAAATGTATAGCTATAAAACAACAACTATGCATATATGCCATACATTGTGTGCAAAAAGATATAAATATAAATGTGACTGATCACAAACTCAACTAAGATTTTTTATTTTATAAATATTATTTGCATTCAAAATGAAAAAGTTTGTTTGCAGTGGTAATGACATGGTGAAGTGTTCATGCATACAACAAATCAAGCTAAGTCTATTGAATCGAAACGGTTTTTAAAAGGGGGTTTATGCACATTTTCAGCTATATTTCTTGTAAGCTGCGTATGCTAACTTTCAGCACCATTCTTAATTAGCTGTTGAACAAGTGTTTGCCTGTATGCATGTGTGTTGACAGGCCTCTGGGAGTTGCTCTTTATTCCTTGTGTCTTTATTGCGCTCCTCTCAGCATCCTGCCATAGGCCTTGGCAACAGCAGTGTTTGAGCGCATGCATAGCAGCTTCTCCTATAGCAACACTTCAGAGACAAACACAGCTAATGTGTGTGGTGAAATACAGAGGCACTGTTGATTGAATCAATTAAAGAATGGAAAGCCAAAAAAAAAAAAAAAAAACGGTCCCCAGGGACATCGGGCGTAGTTTATTCCCTCGTTTGTTCTCAGTAATGCATCACTGGTGACATTGAAATGTTTGTTCTGTAAGGGCTGCTGAGGCTCTGTTACTTCAAACGCTGTTTTATCAGAGGGATGTTGCTCAGCCGTGTGTGTTTTGCATTGCAGTTTTTAACACCCACGTATTATCTGCCTGTCTGTCTGTCTGCCTGTCTCTCTCTCTCTCTTCATTCATGTTCCCTCAGCTGAGCGTGAGCATGGAGGATTATGACTACTTATTCAAAATTGTGCTGATTGGAAATGCTGGAGTGGGCAAAACCTGCCTCGTCCGACGCTTCACTCAGGTGTGTGTGGAATCATTTCCAGCTCTAGAGGTTTGCAGTGTGCAGCGTTTCTACAGGTTTGATGGTCCTCTATTATAATTTCATAATAAGGTAATTCAAACGTCTTCATCTTGCATTGTCTAGGGGCTGTTCCCTCCTGGACAAGGCGCCACCATTGGAGTCGATTTTATGATCAAAACTGTGGAAATAAAAGGAGTGAAGGTGAAGGTGGGTGTGACTCATTATTATGCATAAAGAATGCTTAAAGAAATGTGAAAAGTGATAGATTTTAGTTTCAGTTTTCAGTCTTTATTTTGTATTAAGTTATTTCTGTAATCTTTTTTAAAATCTTTTTTTTATATTCTATGCTTTTGAGTCTTTTGGTTATGCTCTTGATTTCTTTTTGTCATGAATTGTAAATTGTCCTTTGTTAAAGGGGCTATGTAAATAATAATAATAATTATTATTATTTCTTTTTTATGGACATAGCATAGGCCCAAACCCAAGGACACCTAACAATTTAATAATACAGATACAAATAATAATAGTAATTATTATTATTATGATTTCTTTTTTATTTACATAGCCCCAAACGCAAGGGCACCTCACATTATTATTATTATTATTATGATTTCTTTTTTATTTACATAGCCCCAAACCCAAGGATACTTCACAATATAATAATAATAAATAACTTTTTATTTTGTATTATTATCCATTGACAAGGCTGTTGGTAGATTTTGGAAATGACACATGGAGGATTCTTAACATGGCCAAATATAAAATAAAGAAATCAATGTAAAAAAAAAAAAAGACTGTTATAAGACTGCATTGCTTTAAATATACTGTATATATATATATATATATACTATACAAGTATTGTATACGCACCGGGCAAAAAAAAAAAAAAATACAGTTTGCATCAGTGTATGTCACATTTTAATATTAAATTAACAAATAATGTTAAAATAAATAAGTAAAACAAAAAGTTTATTTCCCTTACTCCGCTACAAATCCCTAAATGTAACGGTATTCAGAACAGAACAGGAATTAAAAATATGAGTATAAAACAAACATAAATTATAGTGGCATTTATAACACATTTATATTATATAATTGTGGAAAGCATCAGCTTAGACCACTGGAACACTGTGACAGATTTAGCATGTGTTTTTGCATCTAAAGGCACCTCTGAGCCTTTTTCAGCATTCCACTTCACTTCCTGCTAATGTAATGGAGTGAAAGCTGTAGTTTGTGTTGGGTTCTGCTGAACGTGTTAAGTGACTTTTTGATCCACAGCTCCAGATCTGGGACACGGCCGGGCAGGAGAGGTTCCGCTCGATTACCCAGAGTTACTACCGCAGTGCCAACGCCCTCATCCTCACCTACGACATCACCTGTGAAGATTCCTTCCGGTGCCTTCCTGAGTGGCTGAGGGAGATCGAGCAGTATGCCAACAACCAAGTGGTGACAATCTTAGTAGGTGAGTATTCAAGCTTCAGTTTATCTATCTATCTATCTATCTATCTATCTATCTATCTATCTATCTATCTATCTATCTATCTATCTATCTATCTATCTATCTATCTATCTATCTATCTATCTATCTATCTATCTATCTATCTATCTATCTATCTAAAAAAAAAAAATTCTGTCATCAATTGCCCTCATGTCATTCCAATCCAAACCCATAATACAGTAGTCAACATTTAAAGTGGATAAAAAAAGTTCAGCAAAGTTGTCCTAAGACAAGAAGGGGTATTGTTCAAAATTCATGTTTAACTTTGATGAAAGCTTTTGATCCACTTCAAATGTTGACTAGTGTACTTTTGTTCATCTTTGAAACACAAATGAAGACATTTTTAATGAAATCTGAGAGATCATACATTGGAAGCTCAACCACATATGCTTGACACGCGAGAACAAACCCTGTTGTTTCTTGCGGAAGTTCAAATGTGTGTGTGAGTGAGCCCTATTGGTTTCTCATGTGTCGAGCAATCATGTTTAACCTTCCATTTATCATATTTGAGTGCTCTATTTATGTTCGCAAATCAGTGTTTATATGAGAATAAAAGCCTAAATTAAATCATCATATAAAGCGATCGTTCTCTTCAGAAGACTTGAATTAAACCACTCGATTCATATAGATTGATTTAATATAGTCTTTATGAACATTTTGAAGTGTCATCTTCGTTTAGGAGTAAATACGTAATACGTGAGCAGCAATATACTGTAATCGAACATCTGAAGCCGTCCACACTGCGAGAGCGACGTTGAGATGAATATGTAAATTTGTACTGTGGGCTTTCCTCTCAGTAACAAAATAAACACAGAACAAAATTGAGAAAACCGCAAGCATTTTAATAAAGCATAAGAAAAACATCTGGTCGTAGCATCGTGGATATCCACGGCTCTCCGGTAAAGTCACGTCACTTTTATTTATATATCACTTTATACAATAGATTGGTTAAAATCAAGCAGCTTTACAGTAATAAACACGAGATAAAGTGCCAGGGTCTCGTTTCATCAGAAGTAGAAGCCACACCTACCTATTACGTAATCGCCACGGACCAATGACAGTGCGAAGGCGTTTAGCAGCCGGAGCAAACTTTTCCGGAAAGTTCGCTTTAGCAAGCTGTTTCCAAGCTGATTTTGTTCGAAATGACGTCATATCAGTTCGTTCTTTGATTTTGCTTGAAGTTAGTGAAGTAAGTGAGTTTGAGCTTTGATTTAAAAACAGGAAGAGATGACACTGTTCTGATAGATACTATGTAACTGCGCGGAAAAATATGACCCTTCATAATAAATAATGCTTTGAATGAATTCTGTTTGAGAGCTACATATGGCAATTTATCTGTTCAATAAAATACCTTACTCACCTGTTGAGTAATAAAAACACCATCTCTGCGTCGCTTTTACAACATTTCAAATCCCTCAGTTCTCGCCGTCTCTGCCAAGCCAAGCCGATGTTGATTCTTGTTTTATTACGAGCTCTGTCACGCTCTCTTTTTGCCAGCAGACTCTCCTCGGTTCAGTGTTTGTTTAAAACGGGTCATTCACCAGAGGATGGAGATTTAGATGCTCCATGTCAACCTTTCTCGTTTCTTGTGACAACTGACCTCTGCCACTCGCACACCATACACACGTCAAAGTAGCCGGAGCAACTTCTCTCTATTTACGGATATGACGAGACACACAGGCGAGTGACGTATGCAATCCCGACAGGTCTTAAATATAAACACTTATAATAGGCTTAACATTGTGAATCAGGGTAAGACAAAAACACTTTTTGGAAGAAGGATTAATGATGTATTGACCAATTATTTAAATTGTCTTACTTTTGAACAAAAATAGTTACATAGTGTACCTTTAAATTTTTGCCAGGCGTCGCAAATGGTAAAAAACATTATTTAACCTCTGCATTCATTTGTTTGTCATGAACTCACGCTCATTTCCCTCCATTTCATCTGTTATGGATTTTTTATCCCCAAACCTAACTATTTTAGATTTGGCTCCCTAAGACTAACTAAACTAGTATAACTTATACGCTAGCACGTCTAAATATAATTGACGTTAGCTACGTTCAGGCATCAGCGAGTCTACAGTCGACTACAGCGTCCAGAGCCGATAATTCTAACTTACTTGTTCTCTTGCTGCGCAGCTTAAATGACAGACATACTTGAGTAATTGTCCTTTAAATGTTCTTTATTACGGTCGGGAGTCTCGAGCAGTTCTCAGAGAATCTCCCAAAAAGAAGCAATAAGCATGGCCGGTGGATCTCAGACAAATCCCATTGAGAATCCCACCAGTAAACACAAATACAACAGTTTTTATAGAATAGGGAGGTATGGCAAAATGACATATTATATAATTTCCCTACAATTTGATTGGTTACTTCAAATTTAGACTGTCTAGTTTCATTTCCCATATTTGTTGTTATTTATACACACACACGCAAAGTCATACGTTTTCCATTGGTTTCGTACAGTACATTCTGTTCAAATGTTAGATGTTAGACAAGGTTAGATGTTAGTCTAACCTAGTTAGTTTAATATATATTTTAAAATTTCCACCACACATCTCATCTCAAAATCCAATCAACAACCGATGCATAGAACCAAGTCTCCGTTTGCATCTGTGGCTACTTCTGTTTCACCGCGATTTTAATGCTGAGAGTTTCATGACATCTGTGATTTACCAAAAAGTTTCATATACTTGCTGATTAAGGTGCTCATGCAGATGTTGGAAACCGTCCATCAACATTACTTTAATACGTTTTCGGAGCTGTTGAATATGCAAACAGCTTACTTGTTAACACCGAACAAACTGACTCGCTTACATCAGACCATCTAGCTGTCAACATATGTTGGATGTCCTTGTCACCAGAGCATTTGAGCCCTGTTCGATACTGTTGTCGTTCACAGGGAATAAGATCGACTTGGCCGATAAGCGAGAGGTCCACCGGCAGCGAGCGGAGGAGTTTGCGGAGGCGCAGAGCATGCTGTATCTGGAGACCTCAGCCAAAGAATCGGACAACGTGGAGAAGCTCTTTCTGGATCTGGCCTGCGAACTGATCCGCGAGGCCAAGCAAAACACGTTGGACAACAACGACTCCACCCCCATGCCTGGAGAAGGGAAAAACATCAATTACTTGAGTTGCTGCAGCATGAACTAAGTAGACTCGGCCTCCCTGTCTGGCTGAGGACGCAACATGGATCGCATACAAAGTGGTTGTATTGTTGGTGACCACTAACGTAGTTGCAGTGGTTACACTTTGCCACTTCTTGTCTACTTCTTATACCCTTCTCAAATCCCTGAGTATTTTAAAACATACATTCGGGAAAAACATAACAAGATGCTGCTGCTTTTAAAGGGGGGGTTGGGGGGGGGTTGGTCCGAAGCTCCTAGATGCTTTTGGACTGTAAAAAGGGCCTTGTTACACAATAATGCTTGCTAGTAGGTCAGACAATGAGATTTTCTACACTTCTGTACAATGCAACAGTTGGGATTTCCCTGCTGACTGTATTTGTGCCAATGTATTTGTCATATTAGAGATTTGTTTTCTTCGCAATCTCACCCACTTGAAGGACTAAATCATCCAGAAATTGACATTCTGTCATCATTTAATCACCCTCATGTCATTCCAAAGCCATATTACTTACTTTCTTCTGTGGAACACAAAAGAAGATGTTTCGAAGAATGTTCACGCTGATCTTTTCCCGGATGAAAACGCACAGTGACCAGAGCAGTCCACGTGACTTGTGCGCTATATTTCAAGTCTTGTGAAGCCAAACCGCTTACGGTTTGGAACGACATGAGGGTGAGTAAATGCGGATTGAATTTTAATTTTAGGGTGAACTGCTCCTTTAAGAACCATTGCCACAAAATTGGTGTGTTGATGTGCACATTTATTACTCGCACAAAATGCACTTCTTGATGATTCCATGCGAGATCGTTTGAGGTTGCTAATGCATGCTTTTCTTTTTTTAAATGAAAGTCAATGCGAACAGACAGCCAGCTACCGTCAATAATCTGTGACAGGAAGATGTGAAGTAAAACCCCCTCATTTATTAGGCGGAGAATATAAACTATCCACTAAACATCCACTGCTTAAATGGAAGCCTGGCTGTTAATACTCAATGAAGGCCATGTCATTTTGATAAGTCACAGCAAAAACCCAATGTGCCTCTGCCATTTCCATCCTGTCGTAATGCGTTACATAGCACCCCGGGGAATCTCTTGGGGTACATGTTTGGGTCACGTTTCACCCCAAAATGTGACTCAAATCGTGTCAATATATTGGTCTGGGTGCAAGTTTGTTTTTTCTCTTGGATTTGAGTTTGTTTGTTCTCATTATTTTAAGAATAATTCTCATTAGATTATCAGTACAGTAATTGGAATAATCCTGTCCAGACACAGTTACTGTATATATTGTTTTTTTTATAGTTTTGTCTTTTTTTTCACAGTACAACATATTAATTCTACCATAACATGTAGAATTACAACTATTTACAATTACAACTTTAAAGTGTGTTTTTTGTTTCGTTTTTGCATTACAGTCATGAATAGGAATGGAAAATGTGCATAATTTTTAAGCACACTGTAAAAATGTTATTGTTCACACAATAAGCTCCATTTTCTTTGCAAAACTATGATTTTGAAGTGAAACACACAGCCGTTCAAAAGTTTGGGATGAGTTATATTGGTTTGAAGGAAATTAATTATTTTATTCGGCAAAGATGCATTAAATTGCTAAAAAGTGACCGTAAAGACATTTAGATTTCTATTTCAAATAAATGCACTTTTGATGTATCAGTTTCCACAAAAATATTAAGCAGCACAACTGTTTTCAACATTGATAATACTAACAAGAAATGATTCTTCAGCATCAAAACGTCGTATTAGAATGATTTCTGAAGGATCATGTGACTCTGAAGACTTGAGTAATGATGCTGAAGATTCATCTTTACGTCACAGGAATAAATGACTGTTTTAAAATGTATTCAAACATTCATTTTAAACTGTAATAACATTTCACAATATTACTATGTTTAATCAGCCTTGGTGAACATAAGAGACTCAAAAATGTGACGACTTTAAACCTTTGAACGGCGGGTTCTTGACTGGTTTTATGAGATCTACCAGTCCAGATTTTTTAGTGGCTTTGCACATTATATCCTAAAAAGTAAACACAATGAACTCAATGTAATAATGCACTGTCTAAAATGCTTATTTCATTCCATATTAATAGTTTGTTTTCCCTATAGGAATACTCCTGACTCACTTTTGGAGATATTCTGTCCTACACATTATTACATATTACAAGAACTGAAATATACCAGGATGCTTTGTAGTTCATTTAGTCCAGCTTTAGTATTGTAATAAGCGTAGCGATGTTTAAAGCTTTTGGCACTTGAGAGGCCAAGAGAACAGTGTGTGTGTGTAGTTTTTGTGTGAATGAGAGATATCATGTATTCCATAGATGTTTCAGTGAGTTCTTGCACAAATGGTCTTTGTGTTTCAATGCATTGTATTGAGGAAAAGACGATGGAGTTGTTTAACGGTGTGATGCAGTGATTCTGATTTCTGTTCTGGAACTGTGTTGTGCATTTTAATGACTTTTTAAACAGTTGGAACTTGTACCTCCAACCTTGGCTGTGCTGTAAGGTTGTTTGCACCTGTGTCATTACAATGGAACTGTGAATCTCCTCTTTTATAGACTGTCAGTATTTTACTTGCTGCTACAGAGCTTTTTCCTTTATCCTTTTTTTATTAACAAAATTGACGGAATTACATCCGAGGTTTTAGATGCCTTGTGCTTGGTTATATTTGTGATGATGATGATGATGATGATGATAATAATTCAATGATTTTGTTTAGAGTGATTTTTTTTTAACACTCAACAAAATCCAACACTAACTTGAGGACCAATTGTTTTACTTTTTTTTTTTTTTTCATGCCAATTACTTTTCAGTATAATGCATTTTCCTCATATTTACGCATTGCTGCTTATATGATATTAAGCTTTTCTATTAACATTTTATTTTAAAGTGATAACCTTTTCTAGTTTTGTATAAACTGTTTTCTTTATATGTTACTTGACGTGCCATGCACAGTATTTTCTCTGTCAGGTATTTTTGTCTAGCTTTGTTTTACAGATACTCGCCATATTGTAATGTGTTGCATTGTGTACCAATGGGACTCTATAATAATTTCTTTTCTATGTTAAAGGCCCTAATTTCCAGTAGAAGTTGTTACTAAGCGCTTACATTTTCTGTGGACAATGTTATTATGTCTCATTATGTAAAGACAATATTCATCAAGGAGTAACAGTCTTTTGTCTAGTGAAGATGAAACTCAATTCTTTCGCTGTACATTTATGTGCTTTTGGTATATAAGTTGTGATGCGTCTTCTGCGATTAATTTGTCATAATGAGACAAACCCCACGACTGCAGCAATTCAGTATTGCGAATATGTTTTCTTGAGCAATTCTGTGTGTGTAACTTTGTGTTTTAATTCTCAGCATATAGACTGCAAGTTAATACATTTCTCCAAATAAACATGGTTATGACACTATCTGTATTATTGTGGTTGTGGGAAATGAGTTAAACATTTTTTGTAGATTCAATTTCCTTTACAAAAAATAATATTTTTAATACTAATATATTTTTAAAAATACATACTAATATAATTCACTAATACAATTTTACTGATATTCCATGAATATTATAATACAGGTAGACAAACTTTATTGTTGGCTTGAGCCTTTAGCCAGAAAGTTTGAAGTAGTTTTAACAGCTTTAAGTTGGAAGGTTTTAAGTTTTAGTTTAGTTAGTAGATTTAAAAGCTAGAAATTTGGACACACACACACACACACACACACACACATAGAGAGAGAGAGAGAGAGAGAGAGAGAGAGAGAGAGAGAGAGAGAGAGAGAGAGAGAGAGAGAGAGAGAGAGAGAGAGAGAGAGAGAGAGAGATGGGAAAATTAGGGACTCTAAATAATAATAAGTTTAAATAGTGTATATATTATGATTTATGATATGATTTTTAAATAGTGTATATATATATGTTATGATTTATGATACGATTTTAACGTAAGCTACGGTTATTAATTTCGTAAGGGGTGAGGAACAACAAGAAACTACAATAACCACGAGGCATCGCGCGGATCACGTGTTTACAATACGGAAGCACGTTGTATCGTTAAATGAAGTTAACAAAACATGCCGTTTATCGACAGAAACAACAGACATAATCCGCTTTGAGTGAGCGCTGAGACAAAAAGACACTCTTAATCACTATACACACATGGCGAACAGATAGCAAGCTTACTGCATGATCATTTTCTAAAATGCTCTGAAATTTGATCAATCAAAACTTAAAAGCTACGGTATTATATAGCTATCTTTTAAGGCATTACATTGTATCCCTGTGTTTTTTTTTTTTATTTGTATTACTGAAAGTTAGTTGAAAACTTTGCGTCATGGAATAACAACAACGAGTCATTTGACATCCTTCCTCGTTCCGCGTATGCAAATGATCCCTCGCTTGATATTTCCAGATGACCTGTGACTGGACTCACTCATTCATTCAGCCATGAGACTGACCAGCACTGCTCTGCTCTTCCTCCTCCTCCTCGTCTTCCTCAGCTGTAATGCACTGGCTTTCAAACCGCAGCTTCTAGGCAGACACACCGTCCAAACCTACTCTCATCACAGACCTCTCTCATACAAAACTTTATATTTTGATCAACAGGTAAGTAAGTGTCTTATTGAATTTATTGCGTGTCTTACCTGACTGTTTATTCTTGGGCATAAGAAATTGAATTTAATAGGACTTAAATGCATGTCAAGTAATAACTTTGTTTACCTTGAGATCACTGATATATATATATATATTTTTTTAAATGGTTATTTTTATTTTATTGTATGCTAAATATGATTTTCCCCTGTATAAACTAATTCAAATAATAGTAAAATAAAAAAAAACTAAAATAATAATTTTAAGACTAGGCCTACTATAAAAAACGTAATATGCATTTTCAAATATTATTTTGCAAACAACCTTCTGTTTTCATTTTAATAAATAAAATGATATAAACAACAGCAATAAATAATTATAACAATAACAATCAGTTGTTTTATTTGTATTATTATTATTTATACCACTTTTTTTAGACATATGCAATTTTTTTTACGATCTAAAAGGTTGCACATTTATTTTCATCTATGTTGTGTTATGTCTACCTGTTGTGGTTAAAATGTTTATTTTTCATTTCTTGAAAGTAAATGACTGTATGCAATTACAGTAATAAATATAACGAGACCCAACCAAATATAGTGCATTTTATCAGTGCATTCAATAACCAATGAAGTACAAAAGAGTAAATATCGAAAAAAAATGGATGACTGTATTTACACTGATACATAAATAATGGTATGAGATTGTTTTTTTTTAATGTAAATATTAAAATATGAAATTATTTGAAATGATACCAATGAAAGTCAGTCTAAATGAGTGAGTCATTGAGTCATTAATTCAGCATTTGTTCAAACGGTTGATTCATTCAGGAACGAAGCAAGTGAGCGTCTTTATGAATTGAATCAGCGACTCACCCGATTCATTCAGCAACGAAACACTTCTGTGTTGCTCAGAGATGCACAACGGCTCTGCTGTGCTTTTAATAATAATAATAACTAACATGTCTTGTTATTAATATTATTA